TGGGGAATTCTGGGAGTTGAAGTCCACACATCTTCAAGTTGCCAAGGTTGAGAAACGCTGTGTTAGGATGATAGGTGTGCTGAGCCTCAGAATTAAATCTGACTTCCCCTTTGTTTCAAGTTCTGATGGTGTCGTCATCTCATTTTAGTCCAGACTGTGGTGTCTCCTGCTTCGGCGTTTCTTCCTTTCCATTTTGAACCTACCTGGTGGTGTCCCCTCCTTTAGGTCACATCGACGCCCTGACTTCACAACTCTTTCTGCTGGAGCGCCTGACCGGGGAGGCTTTGAGAAAACGATTTGGCACATTTAAGTAAGTCACTTCCTCTAACGGGGGTTCCCTAACAGCTGGTTCCTCTTTCCACATTTCAATAATTTCTTTCAGCAAATGCAGTATAAATTGTGGGCTCAATATAGTACAATTAAATTAAATCAATATAGTTGTGTTCTTTGTGGACCTTGTTTGTTGAGTATGTGTGGGTTCTGTTTAGTCCACAAGTACTCAACTCTCTGTTAGTTTTTGGTTGGCTGATTGTTTAGAGAGAAATTTGATCCATAAATGAGCTACTATTATTTGGATTCTCTGCCCAGCATCCTGAGCTAATATTAGTTTGAGGAAGGCCTTTTACCATCTGACCTTTTCCTTTACAGAAGAGATACTCAGATCATAGAAGCCTCCCCAAAGCCGTTGTTCCTTGATCGTTTTCTGGAATGACAGCTGACACAGTCCAGGCGTTTCTCAAACTCTCTTTTGAATCATGAGGTTTAGAAACCCTTGCCCCTAGATAGGACTGACAGTTGAGACTCTCAGGACGTCGAACTTCCTGTCGAATGCCAGGTCTCACAGTTGTCCGCACACTAGCAGCTGCCTGGAAAGGATGTAAAATAATGTAAGATGAACGGCTGATCAGGCCTGATGTCTCACCAGCCTGGCTCTGGGTGACTCAAGAAAGACAGCTCCGTCGGAATTCAGAAATTCTTCAAGTTCCTGTGTGTCTGTCTGTTTCTTGAACAGTGATTACAGGGCTTTAATTTTCACAATGCATTAACTTCCCCGTATTTATTTTGTTGCTTCTGAATGTTCACCTCCCCGTACAGGCCAGCCAATTCATTAAATATTCTCGAGAACATCTTGAAGAAAGTGACTGGGTATGTACGCGGCTTTGTTTCCCTTCTCTTCCTTTGTGTTGCGTGCTTAACACATGATTTGAAATAAGGAGAGCAAAGGGCACCCAGAACTCAAGAATCTGGGAAGCTCATAGTGAACACTCCCAAAGGAGGATCTGGGGTAAGGGGGGGGGATCTCAATCTATTCTGGATCATCGTTGGGCACGTTCATATGCTGCTCCACTCCATTAACTTTTCTGCCAACTTTGGCTTAAAGTGAAAGCAGACACACCTGGTGCAGTGTGCAGCCTTCCATGATACGTGCCATGCGCCGAAAGTCATCCAATAAACGTCTGAATGGAGAATCACAGCCACAGCAGACCCTGGCAACCCATTTTGACCCTGGCTGCCCTCCTGGCCAAAATGGGCTTGCTTCGTGGGGCCTGGAGAGGAGGGCCATGCGCTCTGCCTAGGAGCCACCGTGAGTGTCTTTTAAAGCCTCTAGTTTAGCCGGTGATAGTCTTGCGTGCATGTCCCTTGAATCAGATTTAGTAACTTTTGTGGCCTCCAAGAAATGCACGGAAAGAATACAGTGTCTTCCCAGCTTCCTGTCTCTGCTTAGTTTGATTCGCTCCTTATTGGGCTGAACCAGGCAAGTTCAGCAGCCGCGATCAGAAATCCCAGCAGAAACCGTCCAAGCCGGATGTCGGTTGCAAGGGGCGAAGGGCGCAGCTCGCGCCCAACAGCTTCAGAGTCAGAGGGAGCAGCCTGATTTGGCATCAGCTTGTAACGGCTCTAATCGTGTGGTCAGCTTGCAGGAGGGCTCTTACCTCTTGGCTCACCCGGCGGGAGACTCGTCCGTGACCATCTACAAGAGCTCCGGTGGAAACGCCACTCGGGCGACGTACAGCCTGCACGCTGCTCACGCCGACCTGCCTCCTGCCCCGGTGGTCCTCTCTGTCCCGTGGGTCCCGCTCGATCCCGAGATCCCTCTGCCGCATCACTTTGCTCAAGGCCGCGTCCCCTGCACTTTCCCCCCGAAGCCGGCCGAGAACCCCAAGGACGCGAAGGTGAGAGGGGTTCTAAGGTGGAAGGCCAGCTGGCGGGTTTTACAAACTTAGGATAGTTTGGGAAGAGTCTTTTTCTCGTTTTGTAGTCGTCAGGCACGAGCAGCAACGGTCTAAAGCGATGATAAGAACTTAGTAATGGGTCAGTGTGTACAAGCTAGCAGCGTTATTGTTCTGCAGCTGCATCAAAGCATTAGACTAGATTTATCTCCCTTCAGAGTAATCCTAGATGCCATCTGGAGGACGTTGGTCAGAAGTTCTGCCAACAGAGCAGAGGGAGCACTTCTAGAGGTGCAGAATGGAGATCAGGGAGCCCTAGCCATGCCGAAACCCTCGCGGCCCTGCCTAGCTCCTTCCAAGCAACCTGCCCTATAATTTCAGTGACCCTGTTTTCTTGGAAAAAATAAAGGACAAACCTGAAAGCCGGCAGGGGGGGCAATTCTGAAAGAGGTTCGCAAGGAGGGAAGGGGAGAGAGAGAGAGAGAGAAAGAGATGTCTATAACTTTGCTTTACAAAGGAAAATTCGGGAACAAAACCAAGAAATTAATTCAATTAAGTAAATCTAAAGGGCAGCTTTCTGAAATAAAGGGCTGTTCTTTATAATAAAGGGTGTATGGTCACTGTGCATAGAATCTTAACTTACTCCAGGGTTGATGGTTTTCGTTTGGGAGTTCAACAGCAAGAAGGAAGCGTTTTCCCTGGGTTTCAGGGTGGCTAAATTGCAGCTGGTTCTGGCCGAGGCCTCCCGTTGCTCATGTTGAAGCTGCTTCCTCTTCCTCTTCCTCCCCCCACCCCCTTCTGACTCCTAGATGAGTGGGGCCAGAGCTTCCCCCGGCACACCCAGCACCC